ATTCATGCATATATTTAGAAAAATGGTTCTTAAGCATCTTGTCGAATCATTTCCATACTAACCTGTGAAATTTTTTAGAGTGAAATTTGTATGTGGAAATGCATAGAATACAGAAATGCAAGGATTAATGGAGGATTTATAGATTAGAACTCGTCATATGGTGCGGATGTGGAAGGGATACCGCGATGCACGTTGTGCCTGGTTAGAAGGTGTATCCACACTAGACCGAAAGAAAAGTCGATATGAACTTGAAGTACAACCATCGACTGCTTTATTCCTGATAATATTTGCACCCAGACGTGGTTTACTTGAAGCTTGGAGTATGCAGGTATTGTTCATTGTGCAAATTTTTTGCAGGTTTTTTTTCTCTTGATAAGAAGTGACATAACTTTTCTGATCAGGTTCATGATATTTCTGTGAGAGACCGGATTTAATTACCTTATACTCCTATTTAGCTCATTCCTTAATATTTTATGCATCTTAGTGTGTACCGATTAGTCATAATTAATGAATCTAATTCATTTCAAATCGAGATATTTTGAAATTCTTGTTAAATGAGATTCGCGTTGTTACTTTACACTAACCTGGAAATTGACTTTTCCTTTTCTTCTGAATTTCCGGATAAAATGAAACATTGATGGGAATTCCACTCACTTTTTTCAAAAAATTCAGAATGGAAGACGAGTTTTTGCGTCAACGGTGGATCGACATGGTCGATTAATTGGTATACCGCGACTCAGTGATCATTTATTAGGTTGCGATGAACGGGCTGCATCACATTTGCCATCTGTTTTTTTTCTGTCATCGAATGGAACTATCCATGTAAGAAAGATCAAGAATTCTCGAAATTTATGACGCATAAGTTATTTTGATGCAAATTTAAAATGCAATAGTAGATGAGTGACTTTATCTTCGGGTTTTTTAACGTATATTTTAAGCATCTGTGGATTCCTTTCCATCGTGCATTATCGGACGAAAGTGGATCTGCTATTCATGATTCAAGCATCGTTAAAGAGGTTAGTTCATATTGTAAATCTATTTTCATGCGCGTTATTTTTTCATATTTTTTATATAAATTGAAAAAAAAGAAGCTATTTTAGCTTGCCTTTCTCTTTGATTTTAGTCCCATTCCTTCGTGTGAAAGACACTTGGGAAGTTGTTTAAAGAATTGGACAAATCTCTATCTGAAAAGCCATGATTAAACTAACTTGGTATATTCTGTATTCAAGGGCTTTTGAAAGCCGTCTTGATGGCACATACAATTGCCAATTAAGACTCGGTATAACTCTAATGGATGAGGATTTAGAAACGAGTTAGAAAAAATTTCGGACACACCAATAAGATTTAATGATATTTGAAAAAATGACCGGGAGCATAGGAAACTCTGAAAAGTTGGAAAATTCGAATGTTATAAACCTGCGACGCATGATGGAAAATGAATTTCAGATTAATCGCATGATAAAAGATGGCACTGTAGAAGACTTTTCAACGTGGTTGCAATTTTTCCGAGCTCTAAAGACCATTCCTGCAATGAGAGAAAGTGTGGACATTCTGTGGCGGGACTGTGACATCGACTCTTGCAGGCTTTGTCCTATTATGACTTCCGTTCTACAACATGTGGAAAGCTTTCATGCTGTGGTTTGGATTTTACACTGTTTGTAGTTTTGGTAGTCCATTAGTTTCTGTTTTAGATATAGAGTTGCTTCACGCCAATCATCATTTATCTTTCTTTCGTACGACCTGGCCTCCATTTTTTCTTTTCTGTTTCTTTTTTGCAGAAAGGATTTTATTTATTTGACAGCCTTAAATCTTATCAAAATCTCCACTCAAACCTTTCCCTCCAGACTCCTGATTTGTTTTCTCTCACTTATGTATATGTGCCTAAAAATTTCGGTAAATTAGCTGTTCGGAAATTTCCTTTGTACTTTTCTTTTTGTTCGTATGAATAATCTATTCATTAATAATAACAGCTTAAAATCGTTAGCTTTATTTAACATCCAATTTATATTTTCAGAAGAAGTCGTCAGATAGTGGTAATTTGGTGATTTATGTTGCTACAGTTTCACGGTTACTTGATATTTATGTATATTTGCTTAAAATGAACACTGAACAGGCGGACACGGGGAATGAAGAATTCGAAAAGATTGATATTGCTGAAAAACTCTCCATCAATAAAGGGATATTGAATTTATGCCTACAGAGAATTTCCGAGTAAGTTTAGGCTAAGTTAGAACTATTCCGTAGCTTACACGAAAATAACTGTTAGAATTTTTATAGAATTATGATCGACGACTTTACTCTTTCGTCAGTTACAATGCTTCTCTACACTGTGATTAACTCACATGACCGCTTAAGCGATTCAGGATTTCAGTTTTCTAAAAATGTAGGAGTCGAATGCTACTTTTTTTGCTTAGCAGTTTGTTTGCATAATGATACGTTTCTATATGTTTCTCTTTTGGGGGAGATTATTCTACGAAAAAAGGAATTCTATGAAAGATTTCGGATACTATTCTATGAATGATTGCATTAAATTTTCTTGTCATTCAGGTTTCACACCGGAAACAATTCTGCGAAAGATAAAACCCTCACATTTGCTGAATTCATATTTCATTTTGATTTGACTCAAGCCAATCTGGTAGCACCAAATCGAAAACGATTGAAAAACAAGTAATTTCTTCATTGTCCACTAACTTCATTTGAGAAGAATTGAATAGATCTGTTAGAAATGAAAAGTGGTAGACCAATTTCAGGTTGGTCAAAAAAACTGCTGCATTCGGTAATCTCCTTTTTGATGGAGTATTAACGGGACATTGTACGGTCCAGCACTTTGTAAACTATGTAGTACCACAACTCGGCTTATCGGAAGTATGTTCTACATTATATCTGAATATGTCACATTGCTGCAAGCACTTATATCTTTGAATCATTCTTCATTCTTTTCTTCATACTCGTTATTGATAGTTATTATAATTAGAATACTTTCGGAATGATAGCGTACTTAAACTGTTTTCCACAGCGCATCATTATATTACTGATAAATATAATGATCAGGTGTGCTTCGATTTTGTAATATCACAATGTATTCATTCATTATTCTGTTTTAAGATGTTAGGGAACGTAGTTGTGATCAACTCACGCATTTTTTAGTTTTCCTACTAATCAGATGTTAACATGGGTGTTTCTTTAGGAAGATTTTGCGGATGCGTTTTGTGCATATTGGCTGAGTCCATGTGATGATCTTATTCATCGTTTGCCACGTGTTCTAATTTTGTGTAAGTATTTATCCGAAATTGATTCTGATGGACAATCTTGGTTAACCAAAGTGGAGCGAAATATTCTTAACAGGTTCTCAATTTTTTGAATTGACATTTTCTCGTTAACGGTTTTTATAGTTTATCCGCAGTTTAATAATGTCTCCCTTTTGACAATGATATTTATGGAGACTTTTTATGAACGATTGGTGTATGAAGTTAGTTTTCCAGTGATAAGATTTGGTATAATATTTTTAGCCAAGAACTTGGTGCAGCTCTAGCGTTATGTTTGGTTGCACGAGGTGTTGCATTTACTCAGAAGCATTCATCACCTAATAAAGTTAGTTTTTTATGCCGTACGTTATTTTATAAATAGAAATATGTTTAAAAGTATCTGACAACCACCTAAGTGTAAAAGAAAAGGAAAATGAAAAGAAAATAATTTTAGAGTCGAAAAAGTATTAAAAGAGGGAATGGTAAGTGAAAGAAACATACTACGATGTAATATTTCAGATGAGCAGCAGCAATGAATTGAATGACGAACCACTTCATGAGGATTGGGATGAGGTGGAGTTAACGCTAGAATGGTGGGATTTGCTTTTAAGACATCTGCAATGCATGATTGTTCTTAAAGCATTACCCGGTCACTTTCGAGTTTGCCTTTCAGACTTGATTAATGGCGGTCCAGCTTATTATAGAGAACAGGTATTTGGTCCTTTAATCTTTCGAAGCTTTTAGGAAAAATACGTGAAAATTTTTCGAAACCAAAACTTTAATTTGCAGCACTTGTTTCGTGGTCATTCATGACCGATATAAAAAATCAGGTAGCAAGCTGAGGAAAAAGAAGAATCCATGTATGAAACAGATGCTAGGTTACGAATGTTACTACGAGATGCACATGCATTTTTGCAAAATCCTAAATGAATTTTGAATTTTCAGATTGGTAGATGGTCAGCGGGTTTTAGCTTGGATCCGGAACATCTTTATGATATTTTCGATGATCCGACGATAGTAAATCCGGAAATAAGTTGGGAAGTTACAATTGCTGAATTGCGAAAATTGTTTCCAATAAGTCTTTTACCAGAACTTGTCGTATGTGATTGTGCTTGGGAATGTATTGGTGCGTGGAGACGTCACAAAGAGAAGAATGAGGCTTACAGATTGTTAGAAGTATGAATCCCATACATAGTTTTATTGTATATTTTCTTTTCTGGTTTTTTTCTGCTGTTTGAAAAGACTACAAATTAGCCCATTTCGTTTTAATCAGTTTTTCAGCTTGACATAAATTACCTTCTTTTACTACCATATCTTTCTTTACTTCATCATTGTCTTTATGTACTTTTACTCTACTTTTTTACTTAATATTTTCATCTGGAATAATTTCATTTTGTTTATATGCTTATTAATTCTACTGACAAAATTATGCAATATTTTTACATTTTTATTCCCTCTCTTATCTGTTTTTCCTTTTCAGAAAGCGGTAAAATTTGTGGAGCTTTTGGGTGAAGCAGGTGTACTGCAACATGGCATCTGTTTTATGCTATGGGATACGTTTCTTCGTCAGCCTTTCCGATATATTTATGATTTTTTAAATCGGAAGTCGTCGAAGTTTAAAAAACTGGAGGGTTGCCGAATAGATCTGGCAAGTGTTTGTTTCTGGAAATTTTTAATATGTTAGTGATTTTGGTAAAAACTATTTTGCTTAACAAGCAGAACTTCACATACACCTAAGCAACTTGTGCGTTTTGTAACACGTGCATATAAATAATTCACAGTTAGTTGGAAACGTAATATGTGTTGCAACCAACCGTAAAGTATGTTATGTCACGTTCTGCTTATGGTATACTGTATTTGACAGTGTACCATGAACAGAACGTGACATAACATACTTTACGCTGAAATAATGGAAAGATCTGACATAAATGTTTTCACACATATTAAATTCTTTCCTACTTTGTTGTAGAATTTGGTTTTGATCCCACTGATTCGATCTTTTTTCATGTGATTGATTTCCATAAAAAGTTCATTGAAGAAATATTTTGCGTTTCAGGAGCATTTCTCTCCCTGCTGTACGAAAGTTTTGCGATTGTTACGGAATTCTGTAAGATTTGCAGAAACAGTGGATGAAAATGAGGATTCATTAAATGCTTCAACTGGCTGTAATTTATTCGAAGATTTTACTGAAGCAGTGTTTGAATTTCAGCGGCGTAAACAAACTAAACCAAAGTGTGCTATTCTGGTTTTACATAATTATGCATGATTCCAAGTGAACAAATCACAAATCTCTTTTCTAAAGACTAATATTCGGCAAATAGAGGAGTATCAACTTCTAGAGGGGGAAGAAAGATCCACGATACCGTCCCATTTTTTGGCATGTTAGGTTTGCCGATATTAGAACTTCAACTGTCCAAATCATAGAGATTTATAATCTGAGAGTATAGATACTGAATAATGTTTCTTTTGTTAAGCGAGTTTGATCCATTAAATAAATAGACTGGACTGGCATAACTCGGCATGAGTAATATCCCATCTTTATTACTTTTGGGACGTAAATTCATACTAAATAAATTTATTGTGGGATAATTTACTTGTGAGCTGAATCTTTTAGTACGTTGTAAGTGGTTAAATCCATTATCCCAACAAAAAGAACATTTATATAATTTGAAACATACAGACATTATTTTTAGACACTTTGCTGTTTTCTGACATTTTTAGAAAACCGTTAAGTCTCATGGCTGGGCTTCAAAAACCGGTGAATTATCCGCTTGTTTGTTATCATCATGATCTTGCGATGGTGATTGAATTGCAAGTAGGTTTGCACATAAAGTTTTACACTGAGCAATAATATAACCGTGGAAGCTTACCCGCAGTGACAAGCCGAGAGATCAGGTGTTCATAGAATTTCATCGAAATATCTTGATCTAATCAGTGAGGAAAAAGATGGTTGCATAGTCGATGAAATTAAAAATTTAAGTTGTGAAATTTTTAGGTTGCTCTGGAAGAGTGGCCTCCAGGACCAAAATATTTGTTCGATTCAGTTGGTGAACGGGCATTTTTTGAATCATTTTATGCTCACCCATTGATTCCGATGGAAAGCGTTGCGGAGAATATCCGGGAAAAGAGAATGGACTTCCTGAAGAAATGTGTCTCGCATAATGGTTCACCAGAATTCACTCGTGATCTACGTTTTCATATTTATGATTTAACTAATGATTGGGTGCTTAATGCTGACGAAATCAAGAGCAAGGTAATTCGTCTTGAAGTTTTCAATTGTGTTAAACAAAAAAAAAAGTCCACGAGATTTGAAACACAGTCATTAATTTATAGATTTAAAGTATGTCAATTTTGTAAGTTTTTCGAAATTGAAATTGCAAAATTCATTTTCCTTTAATGAAAAATTTCTTCGATATATTTTTTGTTCTTTGAGAAGTCGCAGCAAAAGTTTCAAATGATTTCAGGAAGTTATTACATTATTCCAAAAAGGCCTTGACAGCGAAGCAAAAGATGTGTTAAAGGTGATGGAAAATATGGAACTTTTGCCTTACGAACTTTTCGACGTTGCTATTGCACGTATCCGGAAATGGTTCGATACAAGCGAGAAAGAGGATCTTATGATGCGTGGTTTAAGGATGTCATGTATGAATGATCGGTGAGATGAATTTCTAAAACGAATATAATTTTGAATATGCAACATTTCATTTTACTTGCTGCCATACAGTGATTAAAATTCTAGTTTCTTTATTGGCTAGATGGAACATGGGTAGGAAGAACATCGTGCAAATAATAGGTCAGGAACTGTGATCTTAAAGATTTAAGTTTTTAGGTTGAGAACGAGTATCAAGTGGGTATCCTTTACCATGTTGCAGCTTACCTACCAACTCCATATTTCCAAGTTAGAAGAGCTTTTCCTATAATCCAGTTTTCTCGAAAAAAATTTTTAGGATGATGAAATATATTCGTGAATCAAAAATGGAAGTTGTTCTGGTGCCACCAGATGATATTAACCAACTCATGCGTCAAATAAGAATGTGCTTAGGTCGTGTGGAGCCGAATGATCAAGCAGTTAAAATTAATCGTCTTACTTTCGATTTCGAAAAACTTATAACAGTGATTCAATAACATTATTTTTATTCTTTATTTGCACAGGTGCCATTTTTTGTGCTGCTTGCCTATTCGTTGCGAAAAAAAATCGGTTGATTACAAATCAAATGTAAATGGTGTTTTCATTGCTGATTTCGAGTGAAGTTTTGAAATCTTACTAGTTCTCTTTATCCAAAAAAAAAAAAAAATTGCAAAAACTTTGAGAGTTTTATATTTTTTAAAAACGGTTAATTTCCAGGTTTCCGTCCCAAAATTTACGAATTCTTCATCTCTTGATTTATTATGATGCATTGATCGGTGCGCATTTCATTACTGTAAAGTATGTGTGATATATTCCAATGTACTGAGCAATTCTTTGTTCGGCAATCATGATAATGAGTCTGAGCATTAAGATCTCTTTACGAAAAAAGAAAAAAAAATTGAGATACTCTGATTTTAAATCCAGTTTGAAAACGATTGAAATTTTTGAGTACTGTTCATTTATTGGATATGATTTGCGGAATTTTTGAATTTTTTCATAAATTTTAACTTTTAATATTTTATAAAAATTGTGCACTGTATCTGTGATTCACCATTTCTACGGGTTTTTATAATGAAATGCTTGAAATTATTATTGTTTTGCACAGACTGTATTATTTTGTTGTAAATATATGAATGATTGCTATTTTAGGCATGAAAAGGAAATGGAAATTATAAGGAATTAAGAAGCGTAGAGAATTGAAGAAATAAGATGAGATTTTCAACTGTTGTAGATGTTAGGATTTTTGATTTCGTTGATATCATTGAAAAAGCGCTTTATGATTTTGTGGCTAAATAATTTCTTACATCCATATATATCCGTCCTTAGTCATCATATGTTCATTAATGCACTCATTTGTTGTTCGTTTATTCGTTTGTTTGTTTTTTTTATCAATGTATAGTTTTGATATTGATATATCAGTTTTGGTATTGATATATCATTTGATATATATTTTCATTTCATTTATTGAAGTAAATGTAGTTTTTACATATCTTATAGGTAATATGCACATGTAATGGTACATTACTTGTTCGATTTATTTATTTTTGGTGAAACAGATGTTTTATAATATGGTATATATATATATGATGGAAAAATTTTGGAACAAATGTTGAACATCATTCATTTGATTATTTCGAATTTTTATACTTCCGTGAATTAATTTATAATTTCAAAACTTTTAGGACTTATTATCACAATTTTACTTTTGGCTTAAACCTGAATTGATTGTTAGTTTAATTGTAAAATTGATAATAGTATTTCATAATATAACGACTGGTACTGATAATTATATGATGATAATCGATAATACAGGTAATTCGAATCCTTGAATTATTTGTTATTTGAAAAGATCAAAGAAATTCTTTGGTCTTATTATCAAGTGATTTCTCTCGTATTGCTCTCTTCATTTTCTTTCCTAAAGGAGTTTATATAAATTCATTTTGAAAGTGGTTTCATTTTACCAAAAGATTATATTTCAAATATATTGAAAGATTATATTTCAATTGCTTTGATCATTTTCGCATTGATAGATTCTTATCATTTTCGATTTCCTCTTCATTAGTCAATAATTGCAATGGTAATTTGCATCAAATTTCAATTCTTTATTATAAGGGGGAGAGAAAGAGACAAAGAGAGGGGGTGAGAGAAATCAGAAGAAACAGTTATTTTATTTTTAAACTTTTTATTGAGGTAGTTCCCAACCGGTAATCCGCGATAATTAAAATATCGTCCGCGAAAGTGGAAGCGCAATGATTAGACGATGTTTTAAATATTACAATGTTACTTTAAATTTAATTAATACATTAGAAAATTTTAGTTGAAATTTACTCTTAAATTAATAGAATTTTTACTTTTTGAATCTTATAGTTCCTAATAAGAAGTCGAAATGATCTCTGATCAAGAAAAGGTTGGGAATTACTACTTCATTGTCATTGAGTGATTTTTGCGCGACAATAATTTGAGTGATGTTGAAGTGAAGAGAAAGAGAATGAGAAGGAGTCGCGAAAGATTACGGAATAGGATGAAGAATTGAAGGTAGATTGGTAGTATATGAATGATTATAAATTATAATGAGGGAAATAATTTGAGATGATGAAAACATAAATTGGACGAAAAGGTCATCTGGAATCTTTTCTCTTTTTTTTTTACCATCAAAAGTTCCATCATATGTGTTTCATTTGTGCGTATCGATTGAGATCATTTCATTTACCATTGTTTCGGTACTCTTACGTCAATCAATTACATATGTTTTCTTACATCAGTCATTTACGTGTATATTTTCTTACGTCAATCAGTTACGTGTATATTTTCTTACGTCAATCAGTTACGTGTATATTTTCTTACGTTAATCAGTTATGTGTATGTTTGGTTGCTGAATGGGAGCTATTGGTTTGAGCGAAGTTTGAAAGTTTTGTTGCTTACAAATATTTGTCTCGTAATTTCATCTATTTTTTCATTTTATTCCTTTCCATTTATCCGCAAATGATCGTCGATCATTTGTTTTATTGATTCCAAATTTGACGATCATCATTTCTGATCCATTCTTCAATCAAGATCATAGATCATCTCGTTATGGCTTATTTTTTTTTCCCACTACACATTCACAATATCATTTTGCAATCAGAGTCTTGTTT